TAGAAAAATGGAAAGATATTCCATGTTCTTGGGTTGGAAGAATCAACATAGTTAAAATGACCTTATTACCTAAACATCATACAGATTTAATGCAATCCCCCATCAAAGTCCCATCAGCACTTTAAAAAGAAATAGAACAAAAAATCATCAGATTTGTATGGAAGCACCAAGGACCCCAAATCGCCAAAGCCATTCTGAGAAAAAATAAAACGAGGCTGAAGGAATCACTCTGCCCAACTTCAAACTATACTACAAAGTGACAATACTCAAAACGGCACGGTACTGGCAGAAAAACAGACACACAGACCAGTGGTATAGAATCAAGAGTCCAGAAGTAAATCCCTGCTTACATAGGCAAATAATTTTCAACCAAGGAGCCAAAAATGTACAGTGGATAAAGGAAAATCTCTTCAATATGGTGCTGGGAAAACTGGAAAGTCACTTGCAAAAGAATGAGACTGTTGTCTATTACCACACTCCAAAATTAACTCAAAATAGATTAAGGACCTGAATATAAGACCTGAAACAATAAAATGCATAGAAGAAAACATAGGAACTAAACTCAGGGACCTTGGTCTTAAAGAGGATTTTATGAATTTGACCTCGAAGGCAAGGGAAATAAAAGCAAAAATAAACAAATGGGACTACATCAAACTAAAAAGCTGCATCACAGCAAAAGAAAACCATCAATAAAAAGAAAAGACAACCTACTGAATGGGAAAATACAACTCCATAACAACAAAAAAACCAAACAATCCAATTAAAAAATGGGCAGAAGACCTGAATAGGCACTTCTCCCAAGAAGACATATAACTGGCCAACAAACATGAAAAGATGCTCAACATCACTAGCTATTAGGAAATGTAAATCAAAACCACAATGAGATACCAACTCACTCCTGTTAGAATAGCTTTTATCAACAGGACAATAATAATAAGTGTTAGAGAGTATGCAGAGAAAAAAGAACCCTCATACACTGCTGGTGGGACTGTAAATTGGTACAGCCACTATGGAAAACAGTATAGAGCTTCCTCAAAACACTAAGAATTGATCTACCATATGATCCAGCAAATCCCTCTACTGGGTATTTATTCCAAAGTCTTGGAAACTCATATCCAAAAATATACATTCACACCGATGTTCATAGCAGCATTATCACTGTGGCCAGGACATGGAAGCAACCGAAACGTCTTATGATAGATGATTGGATGAAGAAGCTGTGGTACATATATACAATGAAATATTATTCTGCCATGAGAAGAGATGAAACACTGTCAATTGCAACAACATGGATGGAACTTGAGATAATCATGGTAAGTGAAATAAGGTGGACAGAAAAAGTTGAAAACCACATGATATCACTAATATGTGGGATAAACCTAAAAGAAACAAACAATCAGGACAAACAGAGACTCGTGGACGTGGACAATAGACTAGTGGTTACCAGAGACTGGAGGGAGAGGGGGAAGGAGGGTGGTAGATAGGGTAAAAGGGGTCTAATATATGGTGACAGAAAGAAATGTAACTATGGGTGGTGAACACATAATGCAGTATATACATGCCTTACTGTTGAATTGTACACCTGAAACTTACTGGATTTCATTAACCAATGTCACCAAAACAATAAAAAAAAAATTTAAACTGATGTTCATGACCAACCTCTGCTACCAGGGAGGGAAAATGGGGACATGTCAGCAAGTTGCTGCTTCCTGGGAAACTACCTTCTAGTGTTTTTTTGTGTTGTTGTTGTTGTTGTTGTTGTTGAAGAAAAAACAAAACAAAACAAAACAAAACTACCATTTGTTATGGGAAATCTCCAGTGTAGTATTTCATCATGCCAATCTAAGCCCATGTCAATCCTGGCCCATGTAAAATCAAAGGTCAACTCAAACAATATAAAAATGTCTCTCTCCCAGGACTGGTAGGACTATGGGCAAATGTGGAAGTGAAAATTTCAGGCAGCTATGTATTCTGGTATTGAAAACAGAGTTACTGTAATTTTCAATGTTCTCTGCATTAATGTCTTGCTTACCCCATTGCAGGGCCTTATTTTAAGGTCTCTGGGGATTAAATATTGAAACTTATCCAGAACCAGTCTCAATTGTAGTGAGTTTAGAACCTTTAAAAGAGATTTTCAAAGTAAAGAGGTGGTGGACAGTGCTCAGAGGGCAGACTATAACCAAAGTGGGTGAGTCAATGTAAGCCCCAGGTATCTGAGTGGATCAAGCAGGGCCTCTCCCAGGGTAGATCTAACTGTTTTTTTGTGACTTGCAAAAACTCGAACTAATTAATTGATATGTTACTAAAAGTTGCAACACTCATAAAAGACAACGAATGTGTTCCAAGCACAACATTTTCCAATTATGAGAGAATTATCTGGATATTAGAGGAGGAAATAATCCTAAAACCGAAAATGTCCATATTTACCAGTTCAAGGTTTTTGTAAGAGCATCAAAATCCAAATATGAGATGGACTTCTGTTTTCAGAAAGATGTGGTAAATATACTTTTTTTCTATTCTTCCTACAAAGTACAATTCAAAATCCTGGACAATATAGTATATGTAAAACAAATATAAGAAGACTTAACTTTGGAGTTAAGAAAGCAGACCAACTAGTGACTTCCATACCCAAAGAACAACATGGTGGTGAGTTCCCTGGATTTTTGTTGCCTCATATATCCTTAGAGTTGAAAAAGTCTGGTACCTCGTAACATCAATGGGTGCAGAGAAAAAGGCCTCAGCAAAAGCCTGGGCTCTCTAGCCAAAGGATGAGTAAAGGGGCAGCCTAGCAAGACAGAACACTTTAAAATCACTCTGCTCCAGCCAAACACCACAAGAAAAACTATAGCCCCATCCTGATCCAGGCCAGCAAAAATGAAGTAGAAAGTTTAGACTTCACCCTCATGAGACAACATTGAGATGACCCTCACTCCTTATAAAGGGTGTTGTCAGAGAAGGCTAAGTAAGGAGCAAAGACTTTTTTCACTCTTGCTGGTAACAAGGATCCCCCGGCCCCCATGGTGTTAGTGGAGACCATGTGAGAGGCCTGGACTTCCACTCTGCCCTGCAGAATGAAGCACCCCTCCTCATCCTCTTTTTTTCCTCATTTACTGTATGTTAACTTAATTCAGTAACATATAAAATCTTTCTTTTATTGTGGTAAAATATGAATAACATAAACCGTTTCAACTATCTTTAAATGTTCAGTTCTTTGCATTAGTACATTCACATTGTTGAATACCCATCATGACCATCTATCCCTAGAATGCTTAACATCTTCCCAAACTGAAACTTTATATTTATTTTTAAAAAATTTCTATTTCCCCTCCCCCCATATTCTGGCAACCATAATTCTACTCTGTATCTATGATTTTAACTACTCTAGGTACCTCATATAAGCGGAATCATACATTTGTCTTTTTGTGTCTGGTTTATTTCATTTAGCATAATGTCTTCCAGATTTGTGCATGTTGCAGTAAGTGTCAGAATTTCCTTTTTAAGGCTGAATAGTATTCCATTGTGTGTGTATGATGTTATATATATATTCATTTATCCATTTTGTTCATTCATTCATCTATTAATGGACACTTGGGTTGTTTCTACATTTTGTTATTGATGAAAACTGACTGGAATTTAAGTGAACATAATTAGCTGGGAAGGTTTATGGGAGGAGCTGGGACTTATGGGAGGAATTCTCTCACACTACGTAATTGTGAGAACCCTGCGAGAAGAACTCTATGTTTACAACAAAGTTCTATGATCTAACTACTCTTCCCCTTAACTTTCTTCTCTCTTCTACAATCA